AGAGAGAGAGAGAGAGAGAGAGAGAGAGAGAAAGAGAGAGAGAAAGAAAGAGAGAAAGAGAAAAAAGAGATCACGAGGCGAGAAAAGTCGAAAGCAAGAACGTAGAAGCTCCGTGGTGAATTAAGAGCGGGTATTAATCTTCCATGCTTCCACTTCCAGTCAGCACCTGTCTCCGGGGTTCGTTATGGAACGACCTGTAGCGAACACGCACGTAATACCTACCTCGACGAAGAGAATCTACGTGCCTGCCGGTGCAACGCTGTTGGTGATGAAGGAAGTGAGTTGGGTTGAGAAAGAGAGAGGGTGGCACTACTACTACTACCAACAGCAAGCCCCAAGGACGTAAGGGGTGGAGTGCACGAGAGCTCAATATATATTAAGATCCACGAACCCCTCCAGTAGACTAAAAGTTCGTCCACCCCAGACACAGCCTCCACGTAGTCTTCCCGTACTTTCTCTACCCTCCACACTCCAATAGGAGCGGCTACACCATCGGAATTGCGATTATGGTGGCAATATTACGATGAGAGGGGGACAGAAAGAGAGAGAGAGAGAGGGTAGAAAATGGGCTAGAGAATTCTTTTTCTTCCATCCTTAACTATTCGCTCTCTCTTTATCTTTTCCTCTTTCTTTTTTTCGAGCTTTTTGAATCTTCCTCTTTTAAGATAATACCTCTAAGCGCATACTTAGACGCAGTTTGCGTGATTCAAGGAAAAGAGGGAAAGATGAAAATTTTCACCTACCAGTCATTGTTATCGAAGCAACCTTTTCCTTATATTTTTTTTTTTTTGTTCTTTCCATTCGACGTCGTCCTTTTTTCTCTCTCTCCATTTCTTCTTCATATTTTTCAAAAGTTTTGTTAACCTTGAATTAAACAAGATTTGTCTCTTCCCTTCTCTTTCATCCCAATTTTCTCTCGCGAACTCCATAAAAGGATCTAACGTGTCGGATGATAATAAAATCCGATAGTCCTTCTCGATCTTTCTTTTTATTCACGATCTCTCCTCTCTCTCTCTCTCTCTCTCTCTCTCTCTCTCTCTCTCTTTTTTTTCTTTCCCTCTTGTATTAGAACAATACAGCTGCGGCTTATTGCCTTTGTTCTAAATCGACAATTTAAATCTACAATATTAACCAAGAAAAGAGATTCATGAAAAGCAAAAATGGAAGATCGGCCAAAGGCGTGTTAAACGTTTATCAAGATGCAATGATGATGGCGATGAAAATGTAATCTTATAGAAAGAAAAGATAAAGGAAAGAGAAAGAGAATGATTTGCAAGGGAAGGATTCTTCACGATCCGTGAAAGATTTTCTTAAACCCGTTGGAGCTTGAAGATGACTTCGAATAGAGACTATTCCTCACGAACGAACGTAGAAACGTTTCGTTATCGTCGTGAAGCAGTAAGAAGGCACAAAGAAAGTCGTTACGGAATAATACAGCATTCTGGCACACAGGGATCTCATTTCTCTTCTTCTCGTTTTTCCATATCCTAAATAAAAAGGAGAAAAGAAAAAAAACAACAAATGGAAGTATAAGAAAGAAATAAAGGGAAAGAGATAATAGTCAAAAAGAAGCATCATCTCTTTTTTCTACTCCTTCTTTTTCTCTCATGGACTCCGCAATAATTTCTTCACGTAAGCGTGGAACCATAGAAGGAATTTATTACGACCTCCCTGCCGGAAAGACATTCGCGAGAGGAAATCTTCGGTAGGGGAGGAAGGAGGGAACCCTGGCCTGCTCGATTCGCTATCTTTCCTTTCCCTTTTGTCTCTCATTTCTCTCTCTCTCTCTCTCTCTCTCTTTGGAGCATGTAGCGTATCGAAGGAGATGACGAGAGAAGAGTAGTAGGACGACAATGACAGCGACGAAGACGACGAGCAAGGAGGATGGATCCTTCTTGCTCGGGCCGGAACTTTTTGCGGTCTCTCTCGGGACGAGCTCGAGTCAAGGGAGGCAATAAAACTAATGGTAACGCGCGCCGGTAATTCCTTGCGGTCTGTTTGTCGCAAGTCGACGACCTATCTTCTCTCTTTCTCTCACTAAGGAGAGGGAAGGATCAAGGATACACACAGGATATCGAAGCGAGCCGAGCCCTCGAGCAAAGTCTAGGATACTACCTATAGATATATGTGTGTATGTAAGTATATCCATATACATACACACATATACATATATACATGTATAAATGCAATCGTATATGTATCTAAATCGACGAAGCTTGATCCTCGAATCTGAGACAAGATCCCAACTGCGGTAGTCCCCGAGCCAAAGACTTTCCCCTTACCTTCTTTCAAAGACAAGACAAGAAGAAGCCCGTTTGCTGACTACGAGAACTCGTAGCCTCTTCCGCAAAGCGACCGTAAAACCCGTTTTGCGCGGGATACGCCTCGGGGAATCCGAGGATTCGAGAAAAGCTGATTTCACTCGATGCTGACTTGTGTTCCTTCGAAGGGTAAACCTTGCTTATGTTTACGCGTGAAAAACCTACGCGTTCTTGTAAATACATTTTTAGTATCGTCTTGAAAATAGTCGATAGGACGCGATTGAAATAAACTCACTCTCTCCCTTTCTCTTTCTCTATCTCTATATCTCTCTTATTTTCTTTCTTTTTCTTGCTTTCTAATCTTCCTTTTACTCTTCTTACCACTTCGCGCAGAAAAAATAGGTCACCCTTTAATGTTCATACGTATATATATATATATATATATGTGAGGTGAAAAATCCGTTGAAAACATTTCTCTATCGTGTATTTAAAAGCATATGCTAGAAACGACCAAGAGTTCTGCGTCCTCCTTTGAGAAAAGAAGCCGATTCGTTGTTCTTCCGCAACGTCAATGGAAGTTATATGTACTACTACACATTACCTACGTTCACTTGTACCGTGGCAACGCTTCCCCTTCTCCATGGCCCCGTTTTCCGATAGTCCATTGTAAATCCTATTTTTCTTTTTCTTTTTTTTTTCAAGCACAGGGGGGTGATTGCATTATTGTTTCGTGTACTCTCGAGAATGAGAGAGAGTCGTTTTATCGAGTCGTGATAATCGATCGAAATGAACGGAAACAAGCTGCTTGCAATTAATTGTTAGTGGACGCGTCAAATTTGAACGCTCAACTTTTCAATGAAATTGCATGCATAGGAGTATTTGAAATGAGTTTACGAATTTCTCGTATACAAGTACGAACGTGATTTACTGTTTGCTCGATGTAAATTTGCACTCAACGAAATAGTACTACTACGTACGGAGCGCAAACGGATGGCGAAAAAGAACCAAACAAACCAAAATGAGAGGTGGGAAGTCGTAGGAGTCGAAAACGAAGTTCCCTAAGGACTTAATACGGTCTGATTCGTTTGATGATTTCGTGATTGCGAGGTCTCGCTCCAAAAATAGTCAACGAGAAGAGGTCTCCGTACCTTCCGTCGCGCGTCCTTAACCCGTCATTGGGAGGCTAAGAGGGAGGGAGTACCACCAATGTGGTACTCCACGCAATTAGATAGAAGTTGTTTACATCGGAGAACGGAGTTCGATAATTAAGGACACTTTCATTCGTTACTTGCAGTGGGTGGAAGAGTCGTTCACAAACTTCGACAAGGGCATCAATTGGCGGAGTTACGTCGTCTGCGACGTCGCTTACAACAACGTGAACAATTGGCTCTGGACACCGTTTATCGAGAGGGGTCCGGCGAATCGCATGTACATAGAAATCAAATTCACGACACGAGACTGCTCGTTGTTCCCTGGACATGCTCTTAGCTGCAAGGAGACTTTCAGTCTTCTCTACTATGAGTTTGACGCCGCTACGAAAGAGCCACCTCCATGGGAGCCGGAGAGTTATAAACTCATCGGTAAGTTTTAGAGAAATGCATGATTCTTTTTATATAATATCCGTAAAATAATATTAATTTCCATTTCTCATCAATAGAAATAAGATAATATGATATTATTGAAACATTTCAGGACGCATAGCAGCTGGCGAGGGTAGATTCAACACAAATACGGAAGTGGTGATTAACACTGAAATAAAATCCGTACCAGTGACGAAAAAAGGCATATATTTTGCTTTTCGTGATCAAGGTGCCTGCATCTCACTTCTTGCTATAAAGGTTTATTACATAAGTTGTCCGGAGATTTCGGTGAACTTTGCTCATTATCCGGCGACACCGACCGGCCGCGAAGTTGCCGTGGTCGAACAAACAATCGGCACCTGCGTAGAAAATGCCATTAAAATCGAAACACCGACGTTCCTCTGCAAGGGTGATGGTAAATGGTATCTACCAAGTGGTGGATGTCATTGCAAACCTGGCTACCAAGCGGATGTTGAACAACAGCAATGCATTCAGTGCCCGATCGGTAGATTTAAGCACGAGGCTGGACCTCACAGCTGCGAGGAGTGTCCCAATCATAGTAAATCCACCGAGTACGCTATCACCGAGTGTCGGTGTGATACCGATTATTACAGAGCCGTGGACGATCCCAAGATTATGCCCTGTACACGTAAGTTTTCCTCTCTAATTGGAATCTAATCTATTGGATATCCTTTTACTGTTTTTATTTTATAACCATTTTTTCTTCCTATCTGCCAGAACCACCGTCGGCGCCTCAGAACCTAACCGTCAATTTCGTGGACCAATCGACGGTGATTCTTTCGTGGAATGCACCGCACAAACTTGGTGGTAGAACCGACACAACTTATAGAGTCGTTTGCGATGCATGCAGTATGGGTGTTAAATACATACCCAACACGGTAAGCCAATAACGTAATTGAAACTTTCAATTCTCATGACATTTTTTTACTCTATAACATATGTTTGTCATAACAGGAGATTTTCAACGATACGAAGATCACGATTACAGGCCTAAATGCCGTAACGACTTACCGTTTCCAAGTGTTCGCCGAAAATGGAGTGTCTGCTCAAGCTGGAAAGTCGGAATACGTGGACATCACGGTCACTACAGAAGCGAGCGTACCAAGTTTAGTGAGCAATGTTAGAATCACGAGCGTCAAAAGTTCTGAACTGAGCATTAGTTGGGATGCACCGGTTACAGAAGTAGGTGGAGACAGCGATCACGTCGAAAGATACGAAGGTAATTATATGAATTCGTGTTTTGCTAAATTCTAATTTATATCAATGAAGTCAAAGATGTTTATTGAAACTTTCAATTCTTACAGTAAGGTGTTATCCTCGTTTTGATGATGCCATTAACGCCACTGTGATCCAAACTTCGGATCTCTCTGCCACGTTTAAAGGCCTAAAACCATCAACAGATTACGCGATTCAGGTTCGAGCTAAAACGACACGTGGCTGGGGCGAATATACCCCTGTTATCTACAAAAAGACACCTCACGCGATGGGACTTGGTAATGACACGTAGAATATTATATTATATAAATTATTAAACTCGTTTTTTAACATAATACGTTATTATTTTAGATTACGTTGGTGAAGATGATAATATGCAGGTCAGAATTATCGCCGGTGCAGTCGTTGCAGTCGTCGTCCTTCTAGTTATTATCATCGTCTTGACTGTTCTCTTCCTGAGAAGGTAACCGAATCGCTTAAAATATCGTTTTTCTCATCTTTTTTTAAAAGAAAGAACCTCTTCACAGAAACCCTTTACATTTAAACCCATACGCTTCACTCGACTCGACTCATATAATGCAATTTCGATGCAGCAGGGCCTCAGACGAGTGTAACAAGAAACAGCCGAGCGATTGTGACACCTTGGAATACAGAAACGGCGAAGGTACGTTTATCGCTCGCCAGACGGCTCCAACTTTTCTATTCTATTTACAAACTTATTATCGCTACCACACCCCCCTATCACTATCATAGTTGTCTCACTGCGCCCTCGTGTCTTGTGACTAATACATTTTTAAACCACTGACCCATTTAGAACCAGCAAGTATTGAAAAGATCCACTTTCGAACACCCCTTGTATACAAACCCCCTTACGATAATGTCTTGTCACTATAAACACCCAGTATATTCTATTTAGTATGATCTTTCTTCGCGCGTACGCAAGCGTGCGCGCGTGTGTGTGTATATTTGTATGGTATGTGTGTATATTGTGTGAAAGAGAGAATGTGAGAGATAAATGAGAGCGATAGAGAAACTGCGTGATCAAGAGAAAGAAAAAAAAAGAGAAGCAAGAAGAGAAAAGGCAGTCGGGCTCTTCCGATGTCCTCATCTTTTCTTTTTTTGTGGAGGACGTAGTACAGTGAGAGACACGATCGCTTTTTGACTAAAATTCACATTCGATTTGGCCCGTAGACGATATAATAATTATTCTAACCAAATTCTTTCGATTCTTTCTTTTCATGTGCGATTCCCCTAATCTATCGAACCTGCCTCCATGAAAAATCCATGAAAAAACCCAATGAAACAATGTACACAATCGCCTGCTACTACAGGACTAGTTGTGACCTACAGTAAGTCTTCTCCAACACCTCAAGTTTTTTTTTTCTTCTTTAGGATTCTCGGTTTTTGTATAGATTTTGTTTTCTTGCACCCCCGTGTATATATATATGTATACATATATGTATATATGTATATACATATATATACATAGTTCATGCATCTTTTGATGTTAGTAATTAATAGCGTAGAAGCGACTTGCACGCGTACTTCCGTTCGCGTTGAATTCGTTAAAAAAGAAAAAAAAAACAAAGCGATCAACGATCGACCACGCTCATCGCTTCGTCTCATAAATTTAAAACGGAAGTATGCGAGCATTTGTCATTATTGCTTGCATATGTGTGTTGCATCGTTTTCTTTCTCTCTTTTTTTTTTATTTTATATTATATACGTTTTGCATGAGTAATAAATCGTATTGATGTTACGTATCATTTGACGTATTCTGTCTTCTATCGTTTTTTTCTTTGTTAATTCATAGCATATTCGCGAGGAATCTAACATAAGTGAAATTTGCGAGAAATTTTGTTTTTGCAGAAAATCATCGTAGCTCGCGTTTTAGTCTCGTCTCATATAAATCATTATCTTTCGACACTAAAAGAATAATGATAATTTAAAATCGAGCGCGTCATTCGAATTGTCATCATTGCCAAGACCCGCAGCTTTTTTTCTTTTTTTTGCTGTTTGTCAATCAGTGTGTTGGTTGTTGTGTTGTTCACAGTGCACTGCAAAATGGACAGTTCACCGATTGTGACAACCCATACCAACAACAAGAGCAAGTCGTCGCGTAAGTGCTTTGCTAGCAAATCTAAAGAATCTCTTAATCGAAAACACCGCTCGTAAATCCGTAAATCCTTTTCTATTTTCTTCTTCGCGGCAACATACTTACACATATATAAGTACGTAAATATATATACCTATATTGATTACGGCTTGAGCTCAGGGATATGCATACGTTAGTTTCGCAAGAATTCCGCTTTTATCATCCAACCAACAGAAGTATATTTTTTTCTCCTTTCGCCGTTTATAGAATTTAGTGTATCAAGTATAGAGCATGCATCATTTCTGATATCTCAAAATTGCACCGTGTTCTGATTACCTTTTTGTTATTTCTCTTCTTCACCGATGACCGACTCTATTATATCTCCTTTCTGTAACATTCTACAAGAAACGACGGATGTATACTGGGTTTATATCGATTTACAGAAAGAGGGAGGGAAAAAAGGTAGAAAGAGAGAAAGAGAGTGAAAGAAGGGGAAAAGAGAGAAAGAGGAAGAAAGGAGATAGAGAGAAAGAGAGAGAAGAAAGGAGAGAGAGAAAGAAATAAAGGAAGAAAAAGAAAGAGAAAGACATGAAACAAAACCAACGATATTTACTCTGCTGTCCTATAGATTATTTTTTAAAAGTATAGACCCGGAAACATCCGCCATCCGATAAGACGAACACCAATATAGTATTAACGAGTCGGATGCATCGTACTTGACAAATAATTCAATGTCCAGGCATGCAACAATATTATGGTTCTGGCATGTGAATTTGCTCATTAAAAAGAGCTAAATTCGATAAAAGTTTTGTTTCTTTGTACTAAAAAAGAAATAAACAAAAAAATTGCAAAAGCAATTTAGAAAGAATTAAAACTAATTATCGAATATCTTGAAAGTTTGGTTTTTTGATTGCATTGTTATTTGGAGTTTATGAAATTTCATTTTGAAGAATCGCGTACGCAAAAGAAAAAGCAATATCAAACAAAATAAAGGTGTGCGAGTGTTTACGGGATGAAAAAAATGTTGAAAGAGTTCCGCTTAAATTTCATACACACACACACCGACCCCCGTCTTAATATAATGAACTCTGTTTTCGTGACGTTGCAGTGACGACGCCGCTGTTCACGCCTGCAGTGGGAGTAACTGGAGCGGGTGCTGGAGGTACAGGTGGCACTGGTGCTAGGAGTTACGTTGATCCTCACACCTACGAAGATCCAAATCAGGCAGTTCGTGAATTTGCAAGAGAGATTGACGCTGGATACATCACAATAGAAGCCATCATCGGTAATTTAAAATTGTCTTTTACGTTTTATATCGTTACTTGATATCTGTGCAACTATTAAAAACGCAATATTATCTTTCATAGGCGGTGGTGAATTCGGAGATGTTTGTCGTGGCAAGTTGAAACTACCACCAGATGGTAGAACGGAAATCGACGTGGCCATAAAGACATTAAAACCAGGCTCTGCTGACAAAGCACGGAACGACTTTTTAACGGAAGCCTCAATAATGGGTCAATTCGAGCACCCCAATGTGATATTCCTTCAGGGTGTCGTGACCAAGAGCAATCCAGTGATGATCATTACTGAGTTTATGGAGAACGGAAGTTTGGACACTTTCCTTCGTGCAAACGACGGTAAATTCCAAGTGCTTCAACTCGTCGGTATGCTCCGTGGCATAGCCAGTGGTATGCAGTATCTCGCTGAAATGAATTACGTGCATCGTGATCTCGCGGCAAGGAATGTCTTAGTAAATGCTGCTTTGGTTTGTAAGATAGCTGATTTTGGACTGAGCCGAGAGATTGAAAGTGCGACAGAGGGTGCATATACGACTAGGGTACGTCCAAACAAAGTAGAAGAAAACTCTTTATTTTATTAGTAGTATCGATAATTTATGTACGTATAATTATGCGTGATATCTTGTTGATTAAAATTAGGGCGGTAAGATTCCAGTACGATGGACAGCACCAGAAGCAATAGCATTCCGTAAATTTACTAGCGCCTCCGATGTCTGGAGTATGGGTATTGTTTGCTGGGAAGTCATGTCTTATGGTGAAAGACCATATTGGAATTGGTCTAACCAAGACGTGATAAAGTCGATCGAAAAAGGATACAGACTTCCAGCTCCAATGGATTGTCCAGAAGCAATCTATCAATTAATGCTCGACTGTTGGCAAAAAGAACGAACTCATCGGCCTACCTTCGCCAATCTCACTCAGACGTTGGACAAACTCATACGAAGTCCGGACACTTTGAGGAAAATTGCGCAGAACAGGTAACAATCTACTTCAATCTACATTGCGTTAAGATAATTCGATAAAACGATTAATTAACGTCAGATTCACGACTGACAATTATCGTCGGACACTCGTTTTTACCCTCGGTAAAAAAACAGCCGTACGTCAGAGAAGACTATTTTATCTCAGGGACTCAATATACATGTTATACGTATATTCTCAATATATGTATAGTGCGGCGTAATAATTACATAAAACGTAGTACGAACAGTGCTAGCAAATATAATTTTTCGCCTTCATCGTACGAACGAACGACTCGCCGGAAGAACGACAAATAAAATTGTATAACTTTGTGGACGTTATAAGAACCGTGAAAAAAGTCTTTTTTTTATAAGAGAGAGAGAGAGAGAGAGAGAGAGAGGAACTTCTCTCACCTATTTCTCTTGCTCTCTATCTCTCTCTCTTTGTCCATAATTTTGCAATTTTCTCTTCCTTCCGTCCGGTCATTCGGCTGTCATCGTTTAACTTAAATCATGTCGCATGCCACGCGAGTCACACTTCGTGTCCATAAATTAATTTTTCTCTTGTCAGCTAAAAATATTTTCCGTTGTATCTTTTTTGATTATTTGATTTTTTTATGAAAACATTTAAGAAGCTCATCACGCCGCTCTCTATTTTTCTGTGCTCTCCACATACGCTGTTAGAATGGGCTTTGATATGGCGCTCATTTTATACACAATGTTAAAACGCTCACAATTAAAGCACACACTCGTACACGAGTTAGAACAACGATATATATATATATATGTGTGTGTGTGTGTGTGTATATGCTAAATGAACTAATGTCGTGCGCATACGTATAACTCTTTTTCTATCTTTCTTTCTGTCTCATTACTCTGTGCCCGAGGCATCGTCGTGTGATACCTCGAAATACCTGATTGGCATTACTGGAAGCGGGTCGTATATACTGGACTGTTTTTCTCACCTTTCATTTAGCAACTTCTCTTGTTTTATGTTTTTTTTTTCTCTTTTTTTCATACTATGATTACTTCTTTACAAGAGATGGCGCTGCAAGTTTTTACAATTTTCCAGAAAATCGATCTCTTCAAAATTAATATTTCAATTTTCGCGACTAGATCGTATTTTTCTTTTTAAACCTTTTGTAAATTTTTTTTTTTAACGTCACGTAATATTAATCAAAATCGTTGCGTCCGTCGTTGTCTTTGACGTCGGTGTCGTTGTTGTCGTTTGAAAAACTTCTTCCACATTTTTCTTACATTTTGACACACACAATTTTCGAACGTGACACCATCACGGCTTTGCACACGAGTATCTTTTTACCGCGCGCGCGTCTTTCGAATAGCTTCAATTCTCTTTTCTTCGCTCGTTCCTTTCCACACCTTCCAACGAAAAACGTCAAGTTTCTCCACAGCGTTGTTACCTGCCAGCCGGGAGGAAAATTAATTTATGGACGAAAGTCGTCTACGTCATTATTTTCGCGGGATATTTTTTCTTTCACGGCTCAAAAAAAAGAAAAAGCAAAAGAATAAAAAAAGGAAAAAATATGTAAAGAAAAAGAAAAAAGGCGCGTGTTGTACTGCAGTGGCTTTCAGAAAGCTTTTGTCGCTTTTGGCGCTTATCATTTCCGTAGATTCCATTATTTCCGATTTTCTAAACCTTTTATTCCCTCTTTGACCAAGCTTGCAATTACTTACTACCGAACACGTGAACGGGGATAGAGTAACCACAAATTTTTCCGGTATTCGTCAATTGAAATTCTTTCGATTTAGCAAAAATACAAATTAACAGGATTCAATTTTATATTTTTATTTTCTTCGTGACGTTACACATTCAAAACTGACTTTGTCAAATTTTCTCTACATTTCCTGAAATTCAAATTTATTTTTCAGTTACTATTTTAACAACTATAAACATTATCTGAGAATGATATCAAACATAATTATCTTTATCTCCGTTGACGCGATCAAAGGTAGAAGCATCGTGTAACGCGTTGAACGCAGGCCAGGGATGGGAAATACTTAATTCCTCTCGGACTAACTTTTCATTTTCTCCCTTTCTCTCTATTTCTATTTATCTCTATCTGCCTTTGTTAATTTTTGTCCAACTCCCAAGAACAACAAATCCTCCTTCGTACCTATCTTTCTCCGGCAGGCTAGCACCCTTTTTTTCTGGGCTAATTCTTTGTGGTTTTGGTTTTGTGGTGTCTTTGGTACCCGACTACGAACTGCTACGACAACTACTACTACCATCCACTACGTTCGCTACCTACTACGTTCGCAACGTGACAACAACAACAGCGTGAGGCCGCCCGCACACAATCCGTACTATGTCACAAGCCATACGGCTGCCGCCCAGGCTGCAGCAGCAGCGGCGGCGGCTGCTGCCACGGCGGCTGCCACGGCGGCTGCTCCGGTACCAGGTGCACCCACAACGGGACCGTTCCCCGTAGACGTGGTCGGTCATCAGGCCCATCAGGCCCAGTCAGCGATTGCCGTTCCAGTAATGCCACCAGGAGCCGCCCGTAGCCTACACTATCACACACATGCAGCAACACATGCACTGCCACATCAACCACCTCTCACATATCCTAATTGGGTTCCCTTCACTCACTTTGGTTAATTTTCATCCTCCCTTACCTATTTATCCTAATCATTTCCTCTCATCTATTTCCATTCACCAAAGGGATTCTAATTAATATTAAAAATTATAGCCTACCTAAGCCTATATATATATATATATATATATATATATATATATATATATATATATATATATATATATATATATATATATACGTTTATATTACAATCATCGTTTTCGATTAATAGTTGTCAATTTTATCTAAGATTATATAGTATATATATATATATATACATCAAGAGCTGTAGATGAAAAATTTATTATTATTAATTATTAGTTATTATTATTATATTATCATTACTATTATTATTTTTATCATTATTATTATTATTATTACTATTATTATTATTAATTATTATTATTATTATTATTATTATTATTATTATTATTATTATTATTATTATTATTATTACCATCATCATCATTATCATCGTCATCATCATCATCATCATCATCATCATCATCATCTCATCATTATTATTATTATAATTATAATTATTATTAATATCATTATTATTTTTATTATTATTATTACTATTATAGTGTTATATTCTATCGTATTTTTCATTCAAGTGTTAGACAGTTTTAGCTTCTTCCGCTAATGTGTATCTTGTCATATCGAGCAATACCGATGACATCATAGTGCGTGCATACTAATCATTTTGAATTAGAACAATTTAAAAAAAATTTTCGTGATACTCTTCCGCGTTCCCGCACGTTTCTTTCGCGCGAACCGTTCTATACGGGTTTTAGTCATTTGTTCCTTTCGAGAGCGAGTATTTTTCCTCGATTAAACTCGACTCCAGCTCCGGGCATCAATTGTTTTGACTACAAATTACAGCGCAGTCTTATTATTCATACAGGACAGAATATACGTACTCACGTGTAGTCAATATATATATATATATATATCGATTTTTCTTCTCTTCGAACGACATATTTTATAGAAGAATATTTGTAATTTTGCCGATAAACGTTTGTAGCAAATCACCTTAAGTGACAGTGGGGGTTCGTCGACTTTGAATCATACGAGATCGCGAAGAGTCCGAAAACATTATTTATATTATCTTACAGTTAAAGTAGAGAATATTATTAAATAGAGAAAAAAAGATAAGAAAGAAAATAGAAAAGAAAAATTATATAAAGAAGCTTTTATATACATAGAGGACGAATCGAACCAACGAATAGCTAAATGTAGAACGTAATGTCGCGAACTTAGATAAAAGAAACAAGAACGACGTGTACGCGCGATTAACGATAGTCTTTCACAATCTTTTTCTAATTCTATATTTAGCGGTAATTACTGCATATTATTATATACGTAAAAGTATTATTACAAATGCGAGTATTGAGTATACACATATAACATATTACATATATAAATATATATATGAGTTATATATGTGATCGATTTTAACGTAAAAAGAAAACCGTAAAGACTTATTAGCAATATTATTATCATACGAGCGAAACAGTTCGACCATTTTAGAATAGTATTTTTATACTTGAGATATTAAAAGGAAAAAAAGAGAAAAAAACATGGGCAACCATCTTAGGAAAAATAAAAAAAACGAAAGGGATAAAGAACAGAGAAGAAAATCTATAATAATCCATAAACGAATAAACCTTCGCCGTAAATCTTTTGCTCTTGGCAATATTTTTTTTTCTATTCCTCACTTCCCTCCAAACCCCTGTTTAATCCCTCTTCAATTTTACATACATTTTCGTACGAGCGTACTTCTTGAAAGTTCAACATAATATGTGATATCGACAATGTAGTATAGTAGAATCGTGTTTTCAAATAATATGATAAAATAGACAATCAAATTTTCGAAATCGGCTTGACGATAAAAAAAAAAAGAAAATTCTGACGCGTTTCAATGGAAGAACAATTTATCATACAGTATTACGCGCGAATTCGTACAATTGTAACATTGATCGCGTTAATATTGAATTTTACTCCTCCTGAATAATTGATCTCTCGCTTACGCAACCACATATGTCCTATTATATATTATGCACATGCACACAGCACATACACACACACACAGCACATACACACACACACATGTAGGATACACAAGCAAGATCACTCTTGAATAAGTGTGGAAAGAGGAAACAACAAATGAAAATGCGACTTGCAAATGAGAGCAATCACAAACGGACTAAGAAAAAAAAAATTATAAAATCACACGACCCAACAAAATACAAAAAATTAAATAAAAAAAATAACACCGACTATCGCGAGAAGTAAAAGTAAAAAAGAAACACGAAACACCGCAAATAGTAACACACACGAGTGTGATTTCTATTGCACTAACAAATGCTAACAATTGTCAGAATCAGGGAACGGGGTGCTCCACCCCCACCCCCACCCGCCACGTCGGCATCTTCCAACGTGCATTTGAGAAAAAGGTAAAAAAATATCAAGAACGGTCCTATATAGCCGAAAAGCATAAAAAAGATTTTAAAAGTTGAATGAAGCGGGGAAGCAAAGAAGTTTCGCCAAGTTGTCTTTCAGATGAAAGTAAAAGAAGAGATTTGCTTTCTATGTTCTATTTTCTGGAAAAAAAAAGATTAAAATTGAAAAAAAGAAGGACAAGAAGCTTTCTTGCTTTATCCACTTTGTCGAAATCGTAACAGATATTTCTATCACGTAGACAAGACAGCATTTGCTATGCTTGTATCCTTTTAGTTCGTATCGCACTGCTTGCTCATACGCACCATTACCCTCGATTCACATGTATACATCCATTGTAAGCTCGACTATTTCTATCATTCAGTTTACCATATTTCTCGTATCATCATTATTGTTATCATTATTACTAGTAATATTGTTACTATAATTAATTATAATTACCATTTCTACTATAACTACCTACTACTACTTCTTCTATTACTACTTCTTCTATTACTACTACTGCTATTACTACACTGCTACTGTTACTACTACTGTTACTACTACTGTTACTACTACTATTACTACTACTACTACTACTACTGCTACTACTATTACTACTACTTATTTCAACTGCTACCAATAGCGTTATTATTGTTACTATAACTACTACCACTACTACTATTATTACTATCATTCTTATTATTATTATTATTATTAATATTATTGTTATTACTATTATTAATATTATTATTATTATAATTTTCCATATTATTATTATTTATTTCTATATATGATTTTTATTATTAATAATTATTATAATTATTTTTTTATTTGTAATTATTAGTATTAGTATTAGTATTAATATTAGTATTATCATTATTACTATTATTTCTATTATTATTATTATTATTATTATTATTATTATTATTATTATTATTTTTAGTATGTCCTATATTTAGTTACAAAGAGGCTCAGACTTAACCGATAATGTACAGCTTTCCTGTTTTGTGACATTCAAGTATATAAATATATAATACAAAAGTAATATCGCTAACAATGCTGTAATTAAAGCTTCTTTGTAAAACCTTATAATTGTAATATATAATACGCGTTCGAGCCTTTTTGTAGAAACGTGTACATATAAAAGAAAATATATGAATCTTCCGTTTAGATACTAATTGTAAGTTCTATTTTATATACATATATATATATTCTATCATCCCCTATGTCACGTGCCCCCCCCCCCTATTTTAAAAACCTTATAAGAATAAATAAATCGAACAAATTGAACTTATTTTAGAAATTGTAGCAAGAAACATCCTACGAACCTTGCAATTAACCCGCTAATGTTTTTAACGACGACAGAATGTCTTTTACCTTTTGCAAACGTGATTACGAAACTTATTGTTTCGAGAGAGCGTTAGCACAAGCGAAAACATTCCTTGTAATCTGTTTAACTTTGAACTTACCCGTGTATGCGTGCCTTTCGTTTATCGAATATTTTGTACATACACATATACGTATTACTACTCCTTGTACATAAATCAAAAAGTAAATTTTATCTTTCTATCCGATCTTTCGGCCAGATCCCAGTACAATTTTGCAATTTTTAATTTGTAGTACATAATAATACATTATTATACGATATATGTTTTGTAAAAATGAATACATTTGAAATATCCTGGGATCTAGCTCTGTTTTAAAACCCCAATGCCGAGTATAGTAAGTTTTTAAAAAAACATGAAACAAAGAAAATATTAGTTATCTGTACAACCCTAAACAACCCTTAAAAAAGTCCGAATGATACCTTTAATCTCTTCCAACGTATACGTATGTCTCTCACTGAAGCATAACTCATCTGTCTTAACAGACAATAACTGCTAGAAAGAAAATATGTAAAAAATTTCAAAATAAATTCGAACAGTAATTTGTTTCAGTAAGAGATAGGCGCTGGCGATAAAAATAAAGATCGGAAGGAAAAATCATAAATGCAAATGAAGTAAAAGCAAAAAAAAAATAAAAATAAAAAATGAAACACAGTATATCTGACGTAGTGTTCTTGACAGGGGCACCAATCCACTGGCGCCGGACGCGGTGGACTTGACGCAGTTGACCTCGGTCAGCGAATGGTTGGCCTCAATCAAAATGTCTCGATATGCGGAGAGCTTCGAAAGGGCGGGAGTAACGACGTTGGAAGCAGCAGCTCGGGTTACCGTTCAAGAACTCACCGCACTTGGTATCACTCTAGTGGGTCATCAAAAGAAAATCATGAACAGCGTGACAGCGTTGCGAGCGCAAATGTCTGCCACGTCTCAAAGTTTTCTCGTTTAGGAAAGGGTAAAAAGAGGAAAAAAAAGAAGGATAAAGGAAAGAAGTAAAGCTTTTCAGCAGAGAAACGAGATAGTCTCTATCATTCTCCTGCAGGAAAGCAGAAATTTCGAGCTTTCTATAGATGACAAGTTGAGATCATCGACATCTTCAAGAAAAGGATAGCAACTTCTTCCTCTTCGTATCGCGAGCGTTCGTGAATACAAAGTTGAATGAAAACAAGAGATCTTTCTCTGTATCTTGACAGAGACCAAAACAATTTCATTCTCGAGATTAGAATTAGAAAGACATTCCAGCTTGAACAAAATTGGCCTCTACGAAAATATCTCTCTCAGACATATGTGTATTCTAAGAGAAAAGAATCAACTTTTCCTCTTCGAACGAATATGTATATACATATATTATATATCTATCGCGTAGGTGTCGATTAAGATTTGTCCTTGACATAACACGGTGAGGAGGAACTAAGCGAAAAAAATATGAAACACAACTCTGTCTGTAGCTCGTGGTACAGAGAGAGAGAGAGAGAGAAAAAGAAAGAGCAAACTCGTTTTTTCATTTTTTCGAGAAAATCTACGAAGAAAAATAATCGATCGCACTTTTTCGCTTTCTTCCTCGATCTTGAAACAAATCTTCACGAGATCATCATCAGCTTATACCTAAGCGTGAAAGGAACTAGCCCCAAAAGTTGTGCTGCATGCGATCCACTGCCTTAAAAAGCCGTTTCACGTTTTCGACTATCTCGCGTAAAAAGAAAGATAGAAAAATCTTTAAAGAAAAAGAATGCAAACGCGAGTACGTCCGACATAATAATCGCAAATATTATTCTTGAAATTATTCGAAGGATCTGTCGTTAAAATTGCCCGCCACGATATCGTAATAGTCTTCTTCAGCTATCTTATTTTCTTTCTTTTTAGGTTTCTCTTCTCATTTCATTTTATTTGTCTTTGTTTCTTTTTTTTAATTTTAGTAATTTCAATGCGCGCGATTGTGGATCCTTCGTACTACAGGATAAGAAAAGTTACGGCTTATTGACTTTACACGCAACGGTAAAAATACCAATTTAATAATGAACAAAGAAGAATATAAAGGATCGACATTCTTAAGAAACCACTGCCTTTTTTTTACTTATGTATATATATATATGTATTTGTGTATTTTGGTACATACGCGTATGTACCCTTTTGTATACGTAGAACGACAGTCTAACTAAATAATTAAGACAAATTTTTATACGATACTTTGACTATTTCACGTTCATTTAATCGCTGATTTCGCTGCTTCTTTTTCTTTCTTTATTCTCTTTCCTTGTTTCGTTAAATTGACGACATGTCATCAAAAAGCGATCGTCACATTTACCCTCGGAATATCATTTTCTTCTAAAGTGAGAACAATTATGTCGTTTGATAGCAATAAAGGAAAATTGAAGGAAGAAAAAGGAGATTAAAAAGGTTTCAGTGAGAAAACGGCTTATAATTCTAATCACAACGACGTTTGCTCGACTCGCCTAAAAAAATAATGACGAAAAAAAATGTTGTTGCTTTTACAAAGTGATCATGTGTGAGTGTGTGCGGATATGAAAGAGAGAGAGAGAGAGTTTATGTGTATGATATGGGCGAGTGTGTATCCAACGTACGAACAAAACGAGTAATAACGATAACGATGAAATAGAAAAAGAAGTATAACGAGATTCGAAATTATTGTAAATTTTTGTGAATGAAGGAAGGGAAAAAAGAAAGGGTGAAAGAAAAAGATGATAGAAGTTCTTGCCTTTGCGTTACCTATATGAGTATATTGTATATGCCTAATTAATCGGTCTGTAAAGTTGGAGGTACCTGTCGAGAGTATGAAAAAAAATGTGAAAGAAATATAACAAAAAGAAAAGGAATAGAGTGGTATATATGTGCCAAGGCGAGCGCGCAAGAATCTTCGCTTGCAAGTGATACGGTCATGCGAAACACGTGTCGTATTCGTAGACGTAAAAAAGAAAGGAAGAAAGCGAGAAAAGAAAACAAGAGATTGAGAAAAAAAAAGAAAAAAAAAGTAGAGAAAAGAGGAACCGTGGGGACGACTCTGGGCGGTATAATAAATAATGCTAAAAAAGATATTATTAACATTGTCATCGAGAAAAACTCGATAAAGAAATCTTTTTATGATGCAATATCGCGTAAAATGAAAATAGACTCGTTCATCTTAATGCATACAATTCTCCGGCGAGACGTAAGAAAATAAGGGGTAAGAGTTATTGTCTGTCCCTCGGTGTAACGTTAACATATCAACGAATATCTAAAGAAAAAAAAAGATAAAACTAGCTTAACATACTAAACGAAACAAAAGGATTCTTCTAAATCCTCGATATCGTCCATAAAAAAAGATCGTCAGAGGACGAATACCGGCCAACGAGAAACAACAATGCAAACGCGTTCCCGAATTATTTTCCGGTGAAAATGTTCGACGAGCTATCATTTTACCAAACCGAGAAGGAGAGAGAGAGATAGGGTCGTAAACAAAACGAAGAAGATTTAGAAGTGCTGAAGTTTTCTCGTACTCTTATTTTCTTTTCCATCGTTCTTTTGCTTTCTTCTTTTTATTATTGTTCTTGTTCCTTTGATTTTTTTCATCTTCTATCTTTCAATCATATTTTTTCTTCGTATATATATAATGACTCTTCGCGATAAGAAGCGCGCAAGGGTACGCATCCAGCCTAACTTTCGTCGCGAAACAACGACCATTCCAAATCCACGTATATACTTTACAAACTAATGATACAAGAGAAGTGAAATATTGAACAAAAAAAATTGAGTGTGATAAAAAAAAGAGAGAGAGAGAGACAAAAATAGCGAAAGCTAATTCTCATCGCGAAGGATGGTTTGTATCTTGTTACACCCACATTCGCTCGAGTCTAAAGACTGCTACCCCCTATTTTCCCTACCCTAAAGCGCGCGACAACCGCGATATCCGGCTAATTGTCCTTGTCGGCGATTTAATCGTCGTCGTCGATAAATATAATTTAAATAAATAAATAAACCAAGAAAGAAAGAATGGAAGAAATATAAAGAGACGACCAATCGCCGATGAGGAAAAGAATAGAAACAAATAAATAAAAATTCGCGTGAGTCGCACGACTTTCACAGAGAGACAAACAAAGTTTAAAGCCGTGCCACGGAACATTCTTTTTTACTCTTTATTTAACCAATTATAACAAGTAAGGTAGTATTGACGACGTCAAAGCAACGTTGGGTTATGTCTTGAAATTTGAAAAAGCGATGTATATAATAAAAAGAATCTAAAATGTGATGATAACCGCTACGGGAATAAATGTTGTCTAGCAAATGGTTCATTCTCTTCGATATTTCTCGCATCACCTTTCTACTTCGAGATAGCCCAGCGATGCTTCCGTTTAATGGGATAAGTGATTTTACTCAAGATCGTTCGCTTCGCGTTAGGAAAATGAAGAAAAGGGAGAAGTGAATATCGCGTAAGTTGCACTCCCATTTAAAGAGTTATCTTCGTTCTTCGTCCCGTGGCGAATCTCTCCTCTCGAATGCTTTAAAAAAAATCATGACTTCGATGAATAGAGAAACGTTATGGGACACGAATACGCGAGATCGTTCTTTTCTTTTTTTTTTTTTTTTTTAAGGACGAAGGAACAAAGGAGCTACTCAAAATGGCGACGATTACGAAGCAATAAGTAAATACACGCAAATGCAGATTTTTATATAGAGAATGTTAACAAATTTCAGAAGATATTAATTATCAATAGCGCTATCTTCCTAAATGTTCGTATTAAAAGTTAGCAAAAAGTAAGATAAAAGTAAGGGGACGATAAAAATGAGAATAGCCGCTATACGTCATCCCGATTGGGCCAAGGCCGACCCTTCGGCCCTCTAATATGTCCTTATCCTCGCCCTTGAACGGGACGATGGTAAGCGGTAACTTTTAAGAATTTTGAGCTGTAACTATTTGTGTCTAGTGGCGAATTAACGAGTGCGACCTGAAGTTTTGAGAATGTCGATAGTTTCAGCAAATTATTAGATTTCATAGATCTCTATCAATATTATACGATTTGTAGATGCGAGACGAGAAAGAGGATATTAGTTAGAGCAGGAAAATCTCTTACATATAACTTTAACCGATTTTCCTTTCATCACCCTTTAATACCCCCTGTTATTGTAAAAGAAAATGGGTAGTTTGTTTTCGTAGATCCGATTCGTTTTTTCTCCCATATCGTGGGCTACACTTTCAAAGCTTTTGGATCGTACTTCATGTTACATATTTTGGTTATTCTCGTATATGTGTAAAGCTTTCAGGACAAGTTTGGAATTATAGAAATCGATAAAAGGGAAAAAAGTGAGCGATAAGGAAAAACAAAATATTGCTTGATCAAAATTATCGAATTTTTGTTAATTCTTCGGTATCCTTCATGTGTCTTTTTTTTATTATTACTTTATTTTATTGTTTTTAATTATCCATATTGAAAGAACAAACAAACTAACAGGCGAAGAAATCGTTGAACTCTCCCCACACCTTTAATTACTTAATTCTTTATCGATAAACGCATCTGTACTACTATTTATTAAAAGAAAAAAAAACTTATTTATTGTTTAGAGATCTGACTAAATTAAAAAAGTTCTAAGTATCGTAGGTATTATCTATTATTCCTAGTACGAAAGGAGTAGAATTATTTCATTATGTTAGAGTTTTCGATAAACTCTACCGTGTAAAGTAACGAATTACAGTACGACGATCATCGATCGTCGTGACTATAAGCAGCTATATCATTAATTAATTAAGCGTTATTTAGGCGACTTATGTGCGCGTTGTTTAATTTGTACTTTTTACGACTCTCTTTTTACAGCGAACTTTGTCAAAGTACCTGCTTCGAAAACGAAAAGAACAAAAAAAGTAATAAAATCCGTGAAAACAAAGCACACAGGTACCGTCCCATATATACATAGCTTATCTACACATACACAGACGCAATAATTTATGTATACTCGACAAGTTGAGTTTTTTATAAAATTGGTTAAGCAAATCGCCTGCGTGTGTCTTCGATTCATTGTATAGAACAAAACGACTAAACGCAAAGAGAAGCAAGCAGAGAGTTACTGCCAACAAATTTTGGGATGTGTCAAAAACATTTTTCCTATGGTGTTGTCAAGACGATGTTGAATGTACATAAGATATAATAAATAATATACCTTATACAATGTAATCAGTGTTTCATTTTCCACATGCACCTCAAACTTTGTATATATATATATATATATATATTATAGTCTTAACACATATTCCCCCGGTAACTTTTTGCACCGCCATTCACCAAATGCCGGTGAAATGCATTTTTTGAAACTATCTGTAAAAATGATATGGTCTATATAAAACCAACGTAACTTGTTAGACATCATATATTTTTCATATAATAAAAAATCTTACATTTCATATAAGTAAAATCTTGGAAAATGATATAAAACAAATTTATCAAGTATATTCATTAAACTTTACTAATATTTTTAGATCAATTCAAATGTAGATCTTTAAATATTTCAAAATAAGAATAAATGGGCTTATAATAATTTTAAAAGTAATAAGTAATAATAAATTGTTTTTATTAAAATAGAAAAACAACAAAAAATTGCATCGGCCGGGAATTGAACCTTTTTTTTTTTTAAGTTTTTATTTGTTCAAAGAGTTACAGTATATTACATTGAATGGTACAAATAAAACTAGTAACAAAAACCATATAATCGCTGTCTGAGTAGACTAGACAATAGCTTGACCCGCTAGAGAGGGTGAGCTTGCTATTGTGCGGTAACTTATTGTTTATAGATTATAAAATTTATTGTTAATTAATAGTAGGAGGCAAATTCGCCGAAAATTACTTGCTATATCGTGTTGACGCAACGGTATCTAAGAGAGCAGTTCATACTGGAATGACCAAAGCGTTGACATTTGATGCATTGGAAAAGTCCTCTCCTTTTGAGAGGCTCCCAATATACTCTTTGGCAAACTAATTTCGTTACTTTAGTTATATTTTGTACCATACTATCGCTACTTAATTGCACTAAAAAGTGTTCCCGACCTCTGTTTTTGTTAAATTTGATTTTGGGTATTTTTAAAATATTAACGTTCTGTATATTAGATTCTAATAATTCATCTTTAATTTCATCTACTAATATATAGCTCGCTATACCCTTAAGTACTAAATTCTTTGGTTTAGCGCTATTTGGTGTATATGTTTAAAATTTTATTTTATTTGTTTTACATGAGAATACTTATAGAGCAAGAGCCCACGACGGCCAGACCTTCGTTATTTTATAAAAGCTGAAAGTTTTTCTGTGCATGTCCCCTATACAGGTAAACACGACCAGCGACTATAGAGTTTGGGTTGTGGTTACTTGGGCAGGTAACAAGTAGTAAAGGTGTATAAAATAGTACCTTAAATTCATTAAAGTATAAAGCTCAATTTTTTTACATTTTCTTCGGGATAACTTTAGGAATCTCGTCATCCATTGCCGGACACTTAACATCGTGGCAACTCCTTGCCAGAAACCCTTAATATTCATGAAACAAAAGCATTAGTAACTGTTACTTCATTTTACCGACAGGTACAATGTATGTCGTTATCTAGCAGTAGTAACTGATACTTTATTTTACCGACAAGTAAAGGTAATTATTATATGTAGAATTATAATTTCATAGAACTAGTAAACAATATTTTTTCATATTTAATATTGTTTTTTATTTTTACAAAAACTTTGATATATTTTATCTAAAATCTTAAACATGTGCTTTCTTTCCATTGGCTGTTATTGGATCCCATTGGCTGGGAGGAAAAGAACTAGACTTTCTCTATACGAATGTCTTTCGGACAAGTC